CTCTCTCTCTCTCTCTCTCTCTCTCTCTCTCTCTCTCTCTCTCTCTCTCTCTCTCTCTCTCTATATATATATATATATATATATATATATATATATATATATATATATATGTATAACATACAGATAATGAAATATCTGTAAGAGATGATTACACTTAACTTAATTATTATGAACTACGTATATGTATATATGTATATATATACGTAATCTAGATATATAAAATTATAATTTATATAATTCGTTACTTCTATTTTGTAATAATATGTAACATGTTATAGATAAATATATATATATATATATACAGAAAATATTGAAATGACAGCAACTGGAGAAATAATTATTCACTAACGTTTTCATTTGTTTTTCGGAAAAATTACGGGAAAAAGTGAAAACGTTAGTGCATAATTATGTCTCCAGTTGTTGTCATTTCAATATTTTCTGTGTAATTTAGCTTGCATTTGGAAAACTGAACTTTATATATATGTATATATATATTGCGTGTATATATGTTTTATTTTTTTCTCGAGGCTGAAAAGTAGTCATTTTCATGTGAAATTGGCCCCGACTCGACTGTGATGGTGTGTAATGGTTGTTATTGTGTCTTCCCTTACGAGCGTAGCCACTGCACAAAGCATGCGGAGAAATATACGATTTTTTTCTTCTCTCTCTTTCTTTTTCTTTCTCCCATCTCTCTCTTTCTTTTTCTTTCTCCCATCTCTCTTTCTCTTTCTCTCTCGCGCGCGCTCTCTCTATTCAGCCTTCTCCCCATATCTACATCCATCTAGGATGTTGTGTAATAGGTAACGCATATTCCGCACGTCGTCCGAGGAGCGAGGCTCTTGTCAATGAGGAAGAGACAAATGCTAACGAACGTGGATCCGTGCTTCAATCTGGCTCTAAAAAAATGTTTGTAAACATTTTAAGAGACCAAATCTGGCGAACCGTGGCTCTAAACTAATTCCACACTCCTCCATCGCGCGCACAGAATCCCACTGCAAGTTTACGCGTAACCGTCGTATGCAGGGATTTTACCAGGAGTGTCGTAATATAGACTAGTGTCATAATATGTCTATATCTGATCACACGTATGTAATAGGATGACCTGAGCTTACGTGATGGTTCGGTAGTGTGGCCGGTGTAGAGGGGCGGAGTAGCAATGAAGCCACTTACTGGCGGTTCGGTCGCGATGTCAATTCGAGTGTTTGACGTTACGCGTGCTTTCGTTAACGTCTAATAAATCACCCTGATAACTGGAATAACTCGGTCTATACGTGTTTTAATTCGTTTCGCGCACACGACTTCTACGCGCCTTTAATCGTTATTGACTACGTCACGAATTTTCCACGGTAAAATTTGTAAAAAAAAAATCCCATTTTTTTACATTAAAAGTAAGAACTAACGTTACTAAATATATCCTCAAACTCTCACCTGATAAAAATGTTTTTACATTGGTTAAATTTGCAAAAATCTAGACGATTTGGTAATTTCTGTTGTCTAACACTATTCCCCCAGTACTGTTCAGATACTGGCGTCTCTCTGTTTTTCACCGGCAAATTAGGGCATATAAAGAAGGTATATAAGCATGAAAAGTAAACAGAAACACTAATTGTATTTTCATACATTTTATTTTGTACAAATAACACACAAATATACTACTCGATGGTGCTAGAAATTCGTGACGTAATCACTTTAACGCACGCACGCACGCACACACGCACGCACGCACGCACGCACGCAGTTGCGGATGAAAATGTCGCTCTTTCTTAGTAGGGCAGCAGCTGCTGACGTTGTGACGTTGCTATCGAACGCAAAGAAAAAAACTGCCGAAGTAATGCGGCCAGCCGGCAATATACCGACTTCCGATCCTATAATCCAGCGAGCGCACTTAATTAGAGGAAGAGGAAAAACTACATCGCATTAGTTAACAGGTATCGCATGTCGTACCATAGCTGCATGTTGAGGTTAGCGTGCACACCCAGTGCGTGCACTGCGTGGCAGTTAGGCGACACAAGTCGGGCTAATTAAATGATCACAGTAGCGTGACAAAACATCAACATCGCATTAACAAAAACGGGAATAAACACACGGTAATTTGGCAAACCGTACACCATAACCCGGCTAGCGTACCATGCTCGCACGTATGCGCACAGGCACCAGGAATTAATGAGACTAAATCTGTCTCATTAACTCCTGACGCACCCGCATGTGCACCCGCTATATATTACACGGCAGTACTGTCTTTTGCCGCTAGTTGTTCCTAGCAGTGTTTTTTTTTCTAAATAAATTCATCACGCATGCGAAAACTTAAACGTAAATCAAAGGGGTAAATATATGTTATTTTAACGCGCCGACGAGTTGAAAATTGCTGTATTGCTTGTTTTGGCGGCATGCAATTTAACATAATAAAACCGGAACCGTGACTTCATTACTATGTTGAGAAGTGTGTCTCACCGTAAATATAGTTCTGGCAGTTATAGGTACTGCTTCGCTCCCTCTTCGTGATGAAATTACTGCACTGTGCTTCCTGTTTTCCCTAATCTGTGTGAGCAAATTACGGTTACTAGGACGCATGCGTACATAGCTCATCATACGACGAGTAAATCTGATGCGTACAATAATTCAAATTGTACTGCATTGCAAATGTTTTGCCAACCTTACCGGCTATGAGTCAATTAAACGATGTATTCAGCGGTATTAGTTATTGACTTTTGTGTAAGAAATCACAACAAAATCTTTTTTAATATGTACTCGTACTCGTTACAATAAAACTCGTAACTGCGTTGCCCACGTTATGGCGCCAGTGGCGGGTGATACTCCATTAGGAGTGTTCCCAACTTTAATGTCATTAATGGTCATAATA